CTGAGAAGTGACCCGCACTGCAGCGGACAGTGACTATTTCACTGCATGGCCAGGAGGGATCAACCCCTCAGCTGCCCCAAATGCAGAATGTAAGCTCAGACCTGTCTATTGCTGGCTTCTTTGAAGTTCCTGCATGAGGGCTAAAGGTCTCTCTTTCTGACCCCAAATGCAGAGTGTAAGCTCAGACCTGTCTATTGCTGGCTTCTTTGAAGTTCCTGCATGAGGGCTAAAGGTCTCTCTTTCTGATATTTCCAAGTCATTGTACCAGGAGTTAGGGAACAAATAGAATGGGAGGAAAGGAGAGAAGATCGTGAAATTGCTTTACATGGTGCTTAGCCCAGAGCAAGAGCACAAAATGTTGAACTCACATCCAAACACCTGCCAAGTGCTTTCAGTGGAAGAGTTGGGTGATGGGAGGAAGTCCCAGTGGGGATGAATTTCCTTTTATAGATTTTGGAAAATAGGCACTATAAATACATCCCTAAATGACCTTTTGTTAAGATAATATAGGCTTTTAGAGAAAAAGAAAGGTGCAGGAGCACAATTAAAATATAAAATGAAAGAAAAACGCTATTCTGAATCTAAAACACAATAGGTCATATCACCCTATTGCTGATGACCTGTCAGAGCTCCTCCTTGCCCTCTAGATAGAGAGCAAATAACTCAGAAGGATTCACAGAACCGTTCAACATCTAGATCTCGCTCGTCTCTCTGGGCACATCTCTAATTATTCACATGTGCCCTGTGTACGGTCACACGGGGTTACCAAGGACGCTCCCAAACACTCCCAACTCTTCAAGCCTCAGTGCCTTTGCGTGAGCTTTCACCTGCCTGGGACTTCCTTCTCATCTCCCAGGACAATGCCTCCTTTTCCCTCGAGTCTTCCTCCTCTTAGACACCTTCCCTGTCCCTTGCCAAGCACACGTGTTTGCTTTGTCTGGGCCACTCCCAGGCACGCCATCCTCAAGGCACTCATCTGATTACTCTATTGGCTGCGCTCTCAGACACGTCATCATCAAGGTGCTCATCTGATTACTCTATTGGCTGCGCTCCCAGGCACGTCATCATCAAGGCGCTCATCTGATTACTCTATTGGCTGCGCTCCCAGGCACGTCATCATCAAGGCGCTCATCTGATTACTCTATTGGCTGCGCTCCCAGGCACGTCATCATCAAGGCGCTCATCTGATTACTCTATTGGCTGCGCTCTCAGACACGTCATCATCAAGGCGCTCATCTGATTACTCTATTGGCTGTGCTCCCAGACACGTCATCCTCAAGGCCCTCATCTGATTACTCTATTGGCTGTGCTCCCAGACACGTCATCCTCAAGGTGCTCATCTGATTACTCTATTGGCTGCGCTCCCAGGCACGTCATCCTCAAGGCGCTCATCTGATTACTCTATTGGCTGCGCTCCCAGACACGTCATCATCAAGGGGCTCATCTGATTAATCTATTGGCTGCTCTCCCAGGCACGTCATCCTCAAGGTACTCATCTGATTACTCTATTGGCTGCGCTCCCAGACACGTCATCCTCAAGGCGCTCATCTGATTACTCTATTGGCTGCGCTCCCAGGCACGTCATCCTCAAGGCACTCATCTGATTACTCTATTGGCTGCGCTCCCAGGCACGTCATCCTCAAGGTGCTCATCTGATTACTCTATTGGCTGCGCTCCCAGGCACGTCATCCTCAAGGTGCTCATCTGATTACTCTATTGGCTGCGCTCCCAGACACGTCATCATCAAGGCGCTCATCTGATTACTCTACTGGCTGCACTCCCAGACACGTCATCATCAAGGCGCTCATCTGATTACTCTATTGGCTGTGCTCTCAGACATGTCATCATCAAGGCACTCATCTGATTACTCTATTGGCTGTGCTCCCAGACACGTCATCATCAAGGGGCTCATCTGATTAATCTATTGGCTGCTCTCCCAGACACGTCATCCTCAAGGCGCTCATCTGATTAATCTATTGGCTGCTCTCCCAGACACGTCATCATCAAGGGGCTCATCTGATTAATCTATTGGCTGCTCTCCCAGACACGTCATCATCAAGGCGCTCATCTGATTACTCTACTGGCTGCGCTCCCAGACACGTCATCATCAAGGGGCTCATCTGATTACTCTATTGGCTGCTCTCCCAGACACGTCATCATCAAGGCGCTCATCTGATTAATCTATTGGCTGCTCTCCCAGACACGTCATCATCAAGGCGCTCATCTGATTAATCTATTGGCTGCTCTCCCAGACACGTCATCATCAAGGCGCTCATCTGATTACTCTACTGGCTGCGCTCCCAGACACGTCATCATCAAGGCGCTCATCTGATTAATCTATTGGCTGCTCTCCCAGACACGTCATCATCAAGGCGCTCATCTGATTACTCTACTGGCTGGCGTTTCTGGAGAGCAGAGTACTGAGCACCATCACTGTAGGCTATGTAGCTGACTCATGGCAGATACTCAAATGTTCCTGGGGCGGGGGGAGTGAGCAGAACAGAGAAAATGGGGCAATGTTAGATATTATACCAATACAGTAAAATAGACGGGGATTTAAAAAATATGTTCTCAGGAGCATTATGTAAAGGAAGTGCATTAAAGACAGCAAATTTGTGTCTCACAACTAAACCCCGGTGCAAAGGATGAGGAATCCGATCAGCAAAGGATACAGCGAGGGCAGAGCATCGGGTTAGTACTTGAAAGGTGTCCTGAGACTGGGCAGAGAGAAAACAGGAAGTGAGAGTGTTATGTCGTCAGGCTGTAAAGTCTGAAGTAGTGCAATTTCCTCCTCTTCTGCTACAATTTTTGTAAAAAGATGACAAAATTCATTTCCCTAAAGACTTCAGGCCTGAGCCTGGCCAGAGGAATGGAGAAGCGCAGCATTAGTGCTACCTAACTGAGCTCAGACTCTCAAGCCAGAGCTGCTCTGAGGAGCAGGGGGGAAGGGGGCAGCCAGACGGATGTTCACCTGCCAGAGAGAAGACACAGAGGGTCCTTGATCTCTGCACCTGCCGCACCAGGTCCTCTTTCAGCAGCTCAGAGATGCCCAAACTGCTTTTAGCTGGGACGAATTACTTTTTATCAGGCTTGAAATTCCTTTCAGGTGGGAGGAGAACGCGGCTGTAAGTGGAGATTGCAGAGTTGGCCAAGTGAAGTGAGACCATGGGGCTGGGGCCTGGGACCTGGTATCAAGGGACTGAAGCCTGGAGGGTCGGTCTGAATTGGCCTGCAGTTTTCCTTTCCACCCAAACCCCAAAGAGTGCTTTTAAAAGTGACTCTACCATGGCACACATTTAACTAGTTAACGAACTTGCACATCCTGCACATGCATTCTGGAACTTATTAAATAAAATAAAATAAATTTTTAATAAAAGAAATTAGAAAATATCACTAATTAAGAGATGTTATTGTTCCAAATAATAGAAATATAAATATGAAGTCAATTGCTAATTATGCAGATGCAAACTTGTTTTCTTTTTCGAGACAGAGTTTCACTCTTGTCATCCAGGCTGGAGTGCAGTGGCACGACATCAGCTCACTGCAACCTCTGCCTCTCAGGTTCAAGCAATCCTCCTGTCTCAGCCTCCCAAGTATCTGGGATTACAGGGGCCCGCCACCATGCCTGGCTAATTTTTGTATTTTTAGTACAGATGAGGTTTCACCATATTGGCCAGGCTGGTCTCGAACTCCTGACCTCAGGTGATCCGCCTGCATCGACCTCCCAAAGTGCTGGGATTACAGATGTGAGCCACCGCATCCGGTCCCAAACTTGTTTTCATTGTTTGTCCATAGGCTCTGAGGAAGGATTGAAGTAAGGCAGTTTTCCATGGAAGTTGTGTAGTCACCAATCCATATTTCTAAAATGTATAGTTCTTTCAAGTAATTACATTAGTGAATTTCATGGGACCAGAAGTTCTGTCCTGTTTGTAACATTCAAGAAAAGAAATGAACTCCGTATCTTAAATGGAAGCAAAAGTAAATCTCTGTTTCCTTAATGAAAGGAAATAAAAGTGACTCTAGCATTTTGCATTCCCTTTTATTTTATAAAGTTTCAAGTATTTTTTTGTGTCCAGGTCTCCCAGTTGACACGACTTGAAGCAGAAGAATCGCCCAGTTGAGCCCATCAATAAAAAAGAGAATAAAATGGTCGTTGCTGTAAACCTCTAAATGTTGGGGTCACTTGAAGGTAACAGTAGATCATCAGAACAGTTATGAGATTGGAGGTTGGAGTCGGCCAGTCCGTCTCACGGAGATTGTTACGGGGGTTGGCAGACCTGCGTTATTTGTTAGGTGCTTCTGCTTTGGGGGGCATTAGAGTTCTTCAATCTGGATCAAATCATTCTAAAAGCCCTGGACTTTTCTAGTGATCAGAGTAATTGCTGCATGTCCCAAAAGAACATTAACCCAGAATCAGAAAAGCAGCACAGGAAACCTTCAACGACAAGGATCTTCACATTGGGGCAAAGGTTACATTTTTTGGTTCACACTTTTCAAGTCTCCTAATAATACAGACACCGCTTGTTTTGGGCTGTGTGTTGTTACTGTGATGTGGGGGCAGGGGAAGGAAAGTGAGGGCAGGGAGGTGAAGTTATCTATCTGGGGCTTGTTGAACATGTCGCAACTGGAGTGGGGACTGAGGTTGTAGAATCCTTTGTCAAATTTCCTCCTTGGAGCAGGGTTTGGGATGACCTATTATTCACCCTCAACCATGAGGTTGATAGAATCTCCCCAGAGCTGGCAAGGGAGACATCTGTCTTGTTTTCACTCATGCCCCCAGAAGTCAAGGAAGGGGCCAGGACTCCTGAATTAGGTTAGAAGCAGGTAACACAGGCAGAACAGTACAGAAAACGAGGCCCAAGGGCTTGAGATGACTTGGCCAGGCCACAATGAAAGCCCGGTTACCAATTTCAAAACCAGAAGCCTTTCTGTTGTTTCTTTCCACATTCCTTCAAATGCCTTGATTTCCCATATCCTGCTTTCAAGGGACCATTACGATATTAGTTATTCACATTGTAATGGAATAAATGTTTTGGAGGAGAGTAAATTTTTTAAAAAAGATTGTTGTTGAATAGGATGCACAGGTCAAAATACAATCCAGATAAAATAACTTTGCTCTAATGTATCTACAGAATTATTTAATTCCATAATAAAAATTATTTATGTTACATGTTTGTCTAAAACAATGTCTCCTCTCTTCTACTTCCATCTATGCAGGCAGCAACTCATAGGGCAAGGATGTTACCATGAGGCAAAGATCCAGGTGAAGTTGGTTTCAGCTTCCACATTCCTTAGATAGCTCTGGATTCGGCTGAGACTTTGAGGCCAGCTCAGACATTCCCAGCTGAGCTGCTCCAGGTTGATGGGAATGTGAGCTCCCTTTAAGTACATTAAATCTTGTATTCCAGGGCTTCTCCCAGAAAACGCGGTCCTCCCAGGTCCTCCCAGGTCCTCATCTAATTTATCCCAGAGAAAGAAAATATGTCATCTGTCCACAGCTAGAGGTCTGAAATTAGGGACTAGTCCATCTCAGGGCGTTGTGCTTGGGATGTCACGGGCCCTCTGTGCTGCCTGCTGGCTCAGTGTCTAGGTCTGACCCTCAGCCCCCCTGCCAGTCTCTCCTAGTCCTCGCCTGATCTGATTCCCACCCAATACTCTTACACACCAGGCCCCTGTATCTAGCGAGCTCTTGCCCCTTCATAAGGAGCTAGAATGGCCTCAGTCGCCCATCCCACAGATGGTTGTGGAAATCTCACTAAGGGGGTGTCACTAATCTCTCAAACCACATCCCACTGTGCATCTGACTTTGCATGTTACCTGTTTCCTGCATCTCAGATGTGCCCTGCCTCCTGGACTGGACCTTCAGGGTTATTGTTATCTGCCTGAAACAAATCCTCACTCTCTCTACCCTTTAGACTCTGAATACTGGACCAAATATTCTCCCCCACAAGGGCCAGTCTTAGTAGCAAGCTTGAGGCCATTGCAACACTGTCCATCTTGGTCTTGCCAGCATTGCCATCCTCACTGGTCTGCAACACTGGAGTCCACTTGGTTCTGCAGCTGAGGCCCTCTGAGTTAGAATGTCCTCAGCTTGAAGTCCCTCTAGGGCAGAACCAGAGTTTTGAATCATTCCGATGCCTCTTCCTGACTCCTGGAAAAAAAGGCAAATGCTCATGATGTCTGTATTAATGCCTAAAAAATTAGCTGGTGTCTTGGGCATGATCTAGAGTCACTAGCACCTGTTCCACCTGCCCAGTTTGCTCTGGTCCAGAGCGGTTCTGTCTTCAGATCTCATCCCTGGATCTTCTCCTGGAACCAGACTCTTGCAGGGCATAGGCTACACCATCCACTCCCCTGGCATTCACTGCTTTGCTGGAATACACTCAGGAGTGGTGTGGCTCCTCCAGAACCACCACCTTCTCACTGCCCTGTCCAGTGCCTCTTCTTTCCCAGAGTTCGAGCCACAAGACAATGGGATCATCTAACCAGGTGTTTCCAGTCACAAGGCTCATATGAAGTTGTCTCTCTGCAAACCTGGCAGGTAAAGCAACCAGCCCGCACCTTGCTTCAAAAACCCTGATGAGAGTTCTCTCCTGGCGGGGGGTGGTCAGAAAACCTCATGGTTACAGGTCATGATATAAGAAATCTTAATTTCAGATTCAGAAGCTTTCCTTCCACTCTTTGATTGAGAAATTGCTCAGACTTTAAAACAGACCTATTTAAAGGCTATTCTTTGGTGGGCTGCCTCAAGGTGCACATGTAGAAGTGACTCACACAGGCTTCTAACAGTCACACCAAGGACAAGTCAGTAAGTGCATGGCATCCACACATAATGTGCTTATATTATGGAGAGAAATAGTTCATTCTCAATCAATAAAAACAGAAAGCTTTCATGCTGTCACTGTTAGCTCTAAAACTTAGGTCTTTTATGTCCATGGAGTCATAGATCTTAAATTATATGATATGGATAGAAATAATCAGGTAGTAGCCTTTCCTCTCCATTTTCTTTCATATGTGAATTTTTAATACAAATATGAGGAAATAGTGTATTGATGAAAGTCAAAATGTTTCAGTGACCAATTACAACAATGACAAACGAAATTGTTAGAATTTTCTGTTCAATGCCAACATTTGGCTTTTGCACAAAATCATACGTATTTCTTTCTTTTTTCTTTTTTTTTTTAAGACAGAGTCATGCTCTGTCGCCTAGGCTGGAGTGCAGTGGCACAATCTTGGCTCACTGCAACCTCCGCCTCCCAGGTTCAAGCAATTCTCCTGCCTCAGCCTCCCTAGTAGCTGGGACTATGGGCACACACCACCATGCCTGGCTATTTTTTGTATTTTTAGTAGACATGGGGTTTTGCCATGTTGGCCACACTGGTAAGCATCTGCCTGTTCTTCTCTGAATGGCCAAGATGTGGTAGTCAGCAGATTTTGCAAAAGACAAAAAGAGGAACGCAAACTTATACAAAAGAGCGTATTCGAACATGTAAAGTGAATGTACAAAGGAACTTTGGTTTTATTCCCACAAACTGGAAAGAAGAAATGAAAGCCAGTACATGGTATCTGGCTTGAAGAAGGAAACCAGGCCTGGGCTGGGGTTTCCCACATATCATCTCGTGCCAATAGCACAGCCCAGGGACTGAGGCTCACCCCAGTGACCTTGCTCAGGAGGAAGCGCTTGTATAATGATGCTTATATAAAAACAGGTGTCCGTGAGCTTTTCACACAATATCTCAATCTAAGTGGCTAAAATTAAAGAAGGAAACTTTGTTTTGCAGAAATTTCACATACATCGAATTCAGAATTAGAGCTTGAGAAAAGTAGCTTCCGACCAGAGGTTCTTGGCCTCCATGAAAATAAACAAGGTAATTTCAGTTAATTTTTAAAATTCATATGTATATTTCAGTGTGCTTGCATTAGGTGCTTTTATTCTGGAAAGGGGATCCATAGCTTTCATCATATTCTCAAAAGGGTCTGTGACACCATAAAATATAAGATTTTTTTGTTTTTCGATTATTTTTGAGACAGGTCTCACTGTCACCCAGGCTGGAGTATAGTGGTGTTATTATGGCTCCTGGAGCCCTGACCTCCCAGGCTCAAGCCATCCTTCCACTTCAGCCTCCTGAGTAGCTGAGACTTACAGGCACATGCCACCATACCTGGCTAATTTTTAAATTTTTTGCAGTGATGGGTCTCCCTATGTTGCCCAGACTGGTTTCAAACTGCTGGGCTTAAGCGATCCTCCCACCTCTGCCTCCCAAAATGTTGGGATTTCAGGCATGATCCACGGCACCCAGTCTAAGATTCTTAACATAAGGTGATTAGGAACAGATAAAAAGGCCACATGTCATTAATTTCCTGATACAAGAAGTTGTAGTGGGGGCAGCTGGTGTGGTCAGGCGAACACTAGTGGCCCAGCCCCGCAGACTCACGAGCCCCACCTGTGCTGGGGCTTGCTTCCTGTGGTATTTCACCTCTTGAGAGGGAATCTTCCACAAGCCCAGCACAAGCCGCCAGGCCTGAGCTACTTGAAAGGGGCCATCTAGGTTCCCAACACATGGACTTTGCCTCCATTTTCAGCTCCCTTTTTTCTCCTATTTTCTCTCTGGCTTTCTTCAGCTATGACTCAAAATTAAAAACACTGAAGGTTGGTGGAGGCCCCTCTCCAAGCAGGGAGCCTAGGAAGGGCAGGGACTGATGGCCAGTGATTCCCAAGAGTAGATGGTGACATTAGCGATGAGATTCTTTGTTTATGGAATCCGTTTGCTAATGTGGTAGCCCGTTTATGGTGACATTAGCGATGAGATTCTTTGTTTATGGAATCCGTTTGCTAATGTGGTAGCCCGTTTATGGTGACATTAGCGATGAGATTCTTTGTTTATGGAATCCGTTTGCTAATGTGGTAGCCCGTTTATGGTGACATTAGCGATGAGATTCTTTGTTTATGGAATCCGTTTGCTAATGTGGTAGCCCGTTTATGGTGACATTAGCGATGAGATTCTTTGTTTATGGAATCCGTTTGCTAATGTGGTAGCCCGTTTATGGTGACATTAGCGATGAGATTCTTTGTCTATGGAATCCGTTTGCTAATGTGGTAGCCCGTTTAATCACCCTCGAGAGACTTTATTTTCTCTAGAAATATAGAAATATAGATAGAAATTTATGTTCTAATCCTGGAATCTGTGAATATACCACTTTACATAGCAAAAGAGATTGTGCAGGTGTTTAGAATGGTACAGATATCTAAATAGGGAGATTATCCTGGACTGTCTGGATAGGTACTGTACAATCATAAGCATCTATATAATTATAAGGCAGAAAGCTCAAAGTAAGAATGGGAGGCCTGATCATGAAAACAGGGGTTGGAGGAATGGGAGGAAGCGATTATGTGCTGGGAACGAAGGCAGCCTCTGAAAGCTGGAAAGGCAGGGAGACGGATTCGCTCACAGAGCCTCCAAAGGAGTACAGCTCTGCCCATGCTTTGATTTTAGCCTGTAAGTCCCATTTTGTGTTTCTAGCCTCCAGAACCATAAGATAATAAATTTGTGTTACTCGAAAATATTAAGTTTATTGTAATTTGTTACAGCAGCAGCTGGAAACTGATACAGTTATTAACCATTGAATTCAAAAAGAACAAAGAGTTAAAGTAGCAGCAAGATCAGACTTCCCAGTCTACTTTGCTCTGTCGTCTGCAGTATCTACAAGGGAGGATAGGCTGGAGTCCACGTAGGTCTAAGAGGGTGTTTCTCCTCACTGACTGGCTCTAGATTGTTACACTTTCTTAGCTCTGGTGCACGCTTTTTATGTTCCGCCTGTCTCCTCCCTCACTATCTTCTTGTAGATAACATGCCTCCCTGCTCCCATTTGCTATCTTTAATCTGCTATAGGCTAAAAACCAAACAAATTATAATTGGCTTTAAAAAAAGAGAAAATAGGCTTTGACTGAAAGCTCAAGGCAGTCTTCTATCAAGAAACCACATAACCTTTCAGGGTTTTACTGTGGCATCTATTTTAACCCTAGAGACTCTCGATTTATTTATTTCACCTACATTCCCTTTCTCATCTGTGTTCAGCATAGCCGGGCATTCTGGGTAAGTATTCCCCACATAAATGGGGTTGTCACTGCGTTATTAGACCTAAATCTTACAAGTTTTTTGGTACCAATCAATAATTCAATAATGACTGAAGTGCCATGTCGTACGTAGGTGGAAAGAGAGGCAATTAGAAGACTGCTTACCAGTTGTATTGCTGTGTGCCTCTTGATGCATTCTGAGCCTCAGTTTCTTCCATTGTAAAATGAGCTTCACAACATCTGCCCTCTCCTCTCCCTCACTTGATCTTTACAATGGCCAGATGAGATATTACACGAAAGTGCTTTGTTACCTGCAAAGCATAATAGAATAAAACATTATTAAAAAATCACAGTGAAATTTTTATTTATCTCTACCGTCCTTTGGATATACCAAGATGTCTTTGGGTTTGTGGTGGAAATTCCTTCATTCATTCTTTTGTCATCTGATTGTTCAGTTAACAGGAGGAGAGCATGTTCCATATGGCAACTAGGGCTGGATGAAGGTACCAGACGCCCAGAAGATGGTGTGCTGTCATGAAGAAAACTTGGGAATTATACATATCTAAGTCTGAATCCTGCCCCCACGCACTTGCAACTTAACCTGTCTGGTCATTTCCTTATCTAAGAAATGATGCTAATGATACCTGCTAGGTAAGCCAGCTATAAAATGTAACATATAAAATACATACTGTGATGCAAAATATAATATTCATTAACTAAAATGTATATAAAACTCCAGAGACATACTAGGCATTCAATATGGGTTTAATAGGTATACTATTTGGGGGCTGTTAAATCAAAGTAGTTTTACTTTTGGTCCCCCCCTTTTTTTTCTTTTGACAGAGTTTTGCTCTTGTTGCCCAGGCTGGAGTGCAGTGGCACAATCTCACTGCAACCTCTGCCTCCTGGGTACAAGAGATTCTCCTGTCTCAGCCTCCTGAGTAGCTGGCATTACAAGTGCGCACCACCATACTCGGCTAATTTTCGTATTTTCAGTAGAGATGGGGTTTTACTATGTTGGCCAGGCTGGTCTCGAACTCCTGACCTCAGGTGATCTGCCTGCCTTGGCCTCCCAAAGTGCTGAGATTAGAGGCATGAGCCACTCACCGTGCCTGGCCGATCCCTGCTCCTTGGCCTCCCAAAGTGCTGAGATTACAGGCATGAGCCACTCACCGTGCCTGGCCAATCCCTGCTCTTAATTGTTCTACAGCTTTCAGATTGATTGGAACTGGAGGATTCAGCCGTAACTCCTTCTGTAGACGCTTTGCCTTGGGCACCTGGGCCTGGAGATGCACTGGCCTAGGTAAGGGAAAGAAAATTACCTAAGAGGGTTTCAGGTCAGACAAAATGGATGCCTTTTGGAGGCAGCAAAGTGGAAGAAGTGAAGAGGGTCGGAGACAGGTGAGCACACAGTCAGAGATATATGACTCCTCCTCTCAGACCAGAACAAAGGTTCCCGGGTGTTAGAAGGACTGAGAGGGTAGCCAGGAGCAGAGGGGTTTCCCGTTTGGGATCCTAAGAATGGTGGCTGTAGCAGAGTGGAAAGTGTGCTGTTTGGGACCCCGGGCAGGGTGCCTGCAGTGAATGGACAGTGTGGTGCAGCAGATGTGGCAGGGAGCCTGGGTCAGCATTCGCAAGCCTTACACACAGCCTGTAGAAGCAACAGAAGTTATTGCGGATGTGGCTGGTGAGGTCTGCTATTCCAGGGGCAAAGAGATCCTATACCTATGGGGGCAGGTCAGAGTACCCAGGTCAGGGTAGCAGCAAGGACCAGGTTGAGGCCAAAGCTGTGTGGAGGGCTATGGGGCTGAGATGGAGCCCAGAGATCAACTGCAAACTCACCAGCTACAGATTCGGCCCCAGAGGTCAGCATGGTGTAGGGATCATCCATGTGTGGTCCTTTTCAGGATGCCAAAGGCCTATAGGAACCAAATAAGTAGAGTCAGAGTCCATTCCTCCTCACTGCCCTGACTCCCCAGTTTCCCCAAACCCAGAGGTCATCTTGAAAAGGACGGGGTGGGAAGATCTGGAAGATCAAGCAGTGATGCACAAGCAGCCTGGCCACCCCCAAAACAAGACTCCAACCCACAGAGAGAGAGAATTACTAACTGGCAAGTGTAAAGTGTGACCGCCTTGCATGCTATGCACAGCATGAACAGAAAATTCCTAACGTTAGTAGAAAATAAGGAAGCAATCTCTTGTTAACCTAAGCAAGCTGCCAGTGTGTGCACCCCAGCACATGTGGCAACAATGATGAGGAAGGAGGGGCCTGGAGTGGGATGATCCGGCCCTTACCTGCCCGTGGGATCTCTTAGAAAGGCTTGCGAGTGATCTCAGGCTGAAGGCCTAAGGGCCGTGGCAGAAGCCTGACAGGAGAGGGAGGGAGCTCAGAGCCAAGAGAAGCTGGTTAGCTCAGGGAGCAGGGATGGCTCCCCAAGGCGGTTGGCACAGTTACTGGGGCCGGGGAACATGCTCACCTTTTATAGGGAGTGATGCTCTCCTGGGCCATGAAACTGAGCTTTAGAAGCCAGGCACCTTTCTTAGGCTTTTCTGGTTGTAAGTTACAGAAAGCCACAGGAGCTGACTTGAGCAAATGCAATGGGACGGCACTGAAGAGGCTCATAGATGCCAAGAACACAGACTGCAGGATCTAGGGAAGGCACAGGGCTGCACTGGGGACACAGTGAGGAGCCCAGGAAGGGTGTCCTTTCTATTTTCCTCTGAGCCTCTACTTCATTCTTCCCTTTGGTTTTGGACTGTCCTTGCCCCGTTTTTTGTTGGGAAAAGCCACCAACAGCTCCTGAGCTTACATGTTTCAGGGCCAAGTTCCTCTGTGTCTCAGCTGAAATTTGCCATGAGGGACTGGTTTACCTCCTCCACACCCATCAATTCCACCAGGAGCAAGGAAGGATAAGGGAAGAAAACAACATTGTGGAGGAGAGAGAAGCAGGGAGGTACGAATAAGGGTCTAGGCTCTACCCTGGGCAGCCAGGAAGGATCAGTCACTCTCCCCAGCCAATTAAGTGAAGTTCAGAAAGAAGGGAGCGTGATTTGGGGAAGGAGTAGGGGTGAACAGAAGAGGTACCCACCTCCCCTTGGCCTCCGGAAAACAGAGCCAGCGCTTTCCTGGCCGTGAGTCGGAAAGTGGAGCTGTACGGGGTGGCTGCAGGACCATAGGGTACATTTTCTTTTCACTCTTTCATTATGTCACTTTAGAGAGATTAAGGGAAACTGCCGGGAAGGAAAAAGGAAAGCTAATGGCGGGGATATTGCTCAAAGGCAGGAAATTAGTTAAACATTACACTGGGATTTCACAACAGGTTGTTGCACTGATTTTCTCACAGCTCCTTAATGAGTCTTGGGAAAAAAGGATATCATTTTAATGTGGTCTTGATTGCTTTATTCTCAGGTCAGCCTGAGAATTTTCTTATGATGTTAATTATTCATTTTTGTAAGAAGCCTCCATAAATAAAAGTATAAGTACCAGGTGTCCAGTGTGGCATTTCAGGAGCTTGGAGGAAGATGCTGGAGAAAGTAAGAGCTGGGAAAAAAATAAAATAAAATAAATAAATAACTAAAGTAAGAGCTGGGGAGGGGAAATTGAGAGGTGGCCAGAAAGAGAGGCTTTGATCATTTCCAGAGCCGTGGGGTTGCAGAGAACTCACTTTAGGCAGTGTATGTAATCTAATGTTCTTCAAGGTCCTATAGCCTAAGACCACTGGGGACACATTTGTAGTCAACACAGTGAGGCTGATAGCAAGGGAAACTGCACACTGTGGGGAAATTTGAGGCATCTCAAAAGGGAGGATTAAAGGAAAGGCACCCAATAAACTTAGGGTGCTGGAGTTAGTCACAGGATGGTGTTGGCAGGATTTCATCAGATTCTGTAAACTGGGGAGTTTCTAGAAAAGTACGCGGTCTTATCTTTGGGACGCACAAGTCTGTGGGGAGTTACTGACAGGTAAATTTCTCTGTGGTCTTGTCTGAGAGCAAAATGGGCCTACAAGAGCTGGTGTTTCAAAGTTTGAACTTAGTCTGTCTGTGATGCCCACCACTGTGTGGTCGGGAGAAATTGGCCTGCTTTGTAAGTGAGGCTTATGTTTTGAAAATTGTGGTTTCTGTTTTAATTCAGCCCCTGTCATCTCCCCACCAACATGAACCCCAGTCTGCCAGCCTGCCTTTTTCATTTACTCACTATTTTTCTGCCCGTCATTATAGTTATTCTGCTGTCATGCTACCTATAACATAAAGAGCCCTACAGCTGCATAACCTCCTGTGAGGACTTCTCTAGTTTGCCAGGGTGAATTGGGCAAATTGGAGATGGCGCTCATTCACAGAAATCTAACACTCGATAAGTCATCATCTTTTTGATCACTCCCTTCTCACAGGTCTGTGTCTTAACTGTGCACATCAAATATTATATATCTTAGATTTAATAAACAATTTGCTCAGCAAATGTACAGTGCCGCGTAGCTATTATGAGCGCTAAGAACGATCATCCCCTGCTATGTTCAATCTCTTTCTCGAGGTCCAGCCAAGACTCTAGCATGGCAGGCTGCTTCCTGGGGCTGGGTAGTCGAGAAGGGCAGACAGTTGGGTGACCTAGTGAAGAAGCTCAGCAGAATGACAGTGAAATGCCACCGCACACGTACTGGGATGGCTACTATTAGGAAAACACACACACAGAAAATAACAGATGTGGGCAAGCAAGTGGAGAGACTGGAACCCTTGTGCACTGTTGATGGGAATGTAAGATGGTGCAGCTATTACCGAAAACAATATGGTAGAGCTTCTAAAGATTAAAAATAGGATCACCATATGATACACCAGAACTGAAAGAATTGAAAACAAGATCTTGAAGAGATATGTATATACCGATATTCATAGCAGCATCATTTACATTAGCCAAAAGGCACAAGCAAATCAAGTTTTTACTGATGCATGAACGAAAAAGCAAAATGTGGTATCCATGTGTTGGAAACGGGTGTATAATGTTGGGAAGAATCCACACTGAGACCATGGATCCCTCAGCAAGCCTAGTTCGCTTCCTGCAGGAAGGGTGCAACTCGCCGGCAGTCCTGCCACAAGGGGACCCCTTGAACAAAGGAGACAGGGACATTGAGAACCTTCATAACCTGACTCAATCACCCTATGCGGTGTCCAGTTTCCACCGGCCAAAACGGGACCTCACATTATATGTTTGACCCAATTGGCTAAAATCTTGGACATGTTCTGAATAGATAAGGGGGAAAGAAGACAAGGAGGAAGAGGAAGCTGCTCAGAAGAAGGCCAGGAAGCTTCCAAATGAGGAATGGCAGGCACCAGGGTTTGGAGTTTGCCCAGTTCCATTCAGACAAGCCGGAGTGAGTCAAGATAGCTCATTTAAAAGTAGCTGATTTAGAGAATATATGTATGTGTGTATATATATATACACATACACCCATGTGTACATATATATATATGGGTGTATGTTTATGCTAACAGCAAGATGGCCATAGAGCAATAGATTGTAACTCCTTCTAATGTAGTTAAGATATAAACTTTGAAGAAGAGCTTTTCCATCTCACACATACAATGGAATGTAATTCTGCTGCAAGAAGGAATGAAATGCTGACATCTGTGATACCATGACTGGACCTTGATGACATTATGCCAAGTGGAAGTAGGCAGACATAAAAGGCTACATCGTGTATGATTCCACTAGCATGAAGCACTTAGAGCATTCAAATTCATAAAGACACAAAGTAGAATGGAGGTTTCCAGGCACCTGGGGACAAAGGGGAGAAGAGAGTTATTGTTTCATGGTTACACAGAGTTTTGGGAAGACGAAAACGTTTTAGAGATATGTTGGTGATGGTTGCACGGCAATGTGAGTGTACTTAATGCTACTAAACTCTACACTTAAAATGTTATATTTTCTGTTACGTGTATTTCATCACAATTAGAAAAATGTTTTTAAAGCTAAAAAAAAAAAAATTCTAGCAAGGGAAGAACCCACAAGTAGCACAAACCCAAGTCCTTGGAGGATGCTAGACAGTGTGACTGAGAAAGTCACGTTCACATACCAGGCCAGGGAGCATGGCCTGGGGCCCAGCACTGAGGTCAGGATAGAACAGATGATTGAAGGGATGAGCTGAAGGACACTGTTCACTGACTTTAGTGCAGTGCAGGGGTGGGTCGGACTCGAGGACGCTAAATCAGGGCAGATAAGGGTTTCCCTTCTTCTCTTCTCCTTCTCTTCAAGAATATTCAGTGGAGATTTTAAACAGCCTAGAATTCTCCAGTAAAGTAGTCTAGGAAATAAAGCTATAGATTCCACCTTCTAAGCCCATTGAATTCTTCCCCATCATAAGCAGAGCCAGGCACAAGTGAGCATAAAACTCCTCATGTTAGTGAGAAGCTATTGATGATGGCTGGGACATTTGGCAAAACCAGCATTTCTCGCTCCGTAATGCCAGCGTTGGGAGCTTTCAAAACCAGAAGACCCAGCTGTTGTATATAGCTGAGAAGAGGTGGGGTTAGGGCAGGAGCCCCAGTAGCAAGTTAAAGTTATACATCTAAGCAGGAAGTCAGAGCCAGGGATGTTCCCAGGAGTGTTATTAGGTCTCCAGGAAGGAGCCACGGGTCGTGGGTCCAAGGAAGAGCCAGAGGGAGCAGAGTTTTAGAGAAGCCTGACTTCGGGTGCTGCTGTGTTTCATGCTCTATCTTTTCTCTCCTGTACCTTACCTTGGTTCTTTGAAGCCTTTCTGGGTTTATGGGAATGTCTCCAGTTTGAAGAAATGCTGGCCCCACTTTCCACACTCATTCTTGGGAGAGAAGAAAGAGAATCAACCCAATAAAGAGAGAATGACCTAAGAGACATCTCAAAAAACCAGAGACCAAAAGAGGAGATTCCCCCAAAAAAACACTCTGGGAAAGCAGGAATGCTCAACACCTCTGCCCTTCCATGGAAAGTTCCACTCTCTGAACATGCTGGTCACTGGTTTGCTTTCTTCTCAGGGGTGACACAAGGTATGCAGAAATCCTTGAGGTCTCCTGGAGGGCGGAATGAACCATCAACAGCAGGTAGTCAGAGCCCAGGCTTACTGTCTGGAATTAAGCATCTAGAAAGATGAGGATGACAGTGGGAGGGAAAGAACAGATAGGACCTCACTTATAGAGAACCTAGAAAGACATGGAGAAATGGAAGCAAGCCAAGGACTGGGGCACGAGCGAAGACAGGTTAGAGGCCCGTTTGCCAGAACCAATTTATCACATTAATATGGATCAGCCAAAACACTGACAATGCTGTGTCCTTTTGGAGCAATTAAAGAAATTCCTAACTGACTCTGACTCAGGAGCATCTGAAAACGGCCTGGGAAGGGCATCGTTAACAACTAAAGAATATCTACCGTAGGTTGAATGCCATTCATGGGCTAGGCAGCTTTCATTGACTATCCTGCTTACTCTGCGCAGTAAGGAAGGTGTGACCAGTCTCATCTTACAGACGAGGAAAGTGAGGTTCAGAGAAATAAAATCACTCAGTAGCAAACAGCGGGAGCAGAGTGCAGGGAATTGCATCATGATTGTCCATGCTTTCCCTTATGCTTGTAAACGTTTATGTTCTGAACCTTATTGCCTCAAGTTAGGTTGTCTTCATCAACACCAGCCACCCACGGGAAAAGTTAAAATCCTACATTGCACATGTGCTTTGGGAGCCGTATAAATGTGTCCAGGTTTTTCTTGCAGCTGCCTCTCCCTCCTCTTCTCTGGGAGACTGTGGAGGTGTCTATGACTGATAGATGCCACGCTCTGAACTGTCAAGTTGACTGTGGATGTCTTGTAATTCTCTCTGGAAAAAAAAAAAAGGTTGTTTCCTAATACAGCAATCACTTATCCCTCGGAGCCTTTGAGAAGCAAAATCGTGCTCTTCAGTTGGATCTACAAGTTCCATTCACTCCCAAAGGACCTGCAAACGTAGCTGTCAAAAGACTGTAGTCAAAAATATATTTTTCTGACAAAATTAGTGAGAAAAGTCTCTTGTAAGAATTACCACTAAACAATTGAGTTTAAAAGTCTGATTCTTGTGTCTTAATACTGGGTGTGAGAGGCATACACGTTCCTAAATTTGTTGAGACAGTATTTGACAAAGGTTTATAATAATATTCAAGTAGTGACCTCCATGGGCAGGAAAAGGGGCTGGAAGTATCCTCTCTAGAAATAGTCATGAGTGGGCTGGACAGTCATTGGATGGAGACTGGGAGAGGTGGGTGGGCCTGATGTCAACACCTACCTGCATGCACACAACACTTGCCTGTGATGATTCACAAACTGAGACCCTCAGAGTGAAGCCCAAGGATCTCTATTTTTAAATAAGCACCTCAAGTTATATTCATGTTGCTATGCAAGCTCCAGTTCTCTGAGAATCACTGCCCTAGATCATTGTACTCCAAACTTCCCTGAAAATAATAATCATCTGGCATCACTGTTAAATGTACACTACACCAGGCCGCTCTCACAGACTTTGTGATGACTCGTGCAGGGTCCACGAATCCGCGGAGTTTGGGAACAACTGAACTAAAACATTAGCAGAATCCTTTGTGTCACTAAGGTTTTGTCGCTTACATGAAAGTTTCCATTTAATTTTAGTTCTGCTTACATACCGTGAGAGTAAAAACAGGTAACTTTGAAACAATATGGATGTCGTAGTCTGTTTTCTGCTGCTATAGCAGAACACATCAGACTGGGTAATGTATAAAGAAAAGAGATTATTTGTCTCACTGTTCTGGAGGCTGGGAAGTGCCAAAGTGCGGTGCTGGCACCCAGTGAGGATCTCTGTGTGTTATCCCATGCTGGAACGGTGAAAGCATGAGATACAGAGAAGAAAAAGGGGCAGAACTGATAACTCGCCCACTTCTACAATAATGACATTAGGCGTTAATCCATTCACAAGGGAGGAGCCTCAAGACCTAATCACCTTTTTTTTTTTAAAAAAAATTTGTGTTTATTTTTATTTTTTTGAGACAGTCTCACTCTGTTGCCCAGGCTTGAGTGCGGTGGTGCGATGTCAGCTCACGGCAACCTCTGCCTCCCAGGTTCAAGTGATTCTCCTGCCTCAGCCTCTGCAGTAGCTGAGATTACAGGTGTGCACCACCACACCTGGCTAATTTTTGTATTTTTAGTAGAGACAGGGTTTCACTATGTTGGCCAGGCACGTCTTGAACTTCTGACCTCAGGTGATCTGCCCACCTCGGACTCCTTAAGTACTGAGATTACAGGTGTGAGCCACTGTGCCTGGCCCCTAATCACCTCTTAAAGGTCCCATTTTTTACTTCTGTCACAATGGCAATTAAATTTCAACACGAGCTTTGGAGAGAACAGTCAAACCATAACAATGAGGAATTCTATGAAGCATGGTAAGAATCCTATGCTGTTTCTTTGTGTGTCCTCAGCTTATTTATTTTTCTCTGTAGGACTTCACAAAATCAAAATTTTTGCCTAGATTCAACCTTCTCGGCAGCTGCTTTCTTCTTTCTTTCTCATTATAGAGTCCCATGCCAGCACAACTTAGGGGCAGAAAATGCATCGAGAGCTGTTTGGACACCGAATGTCTGGCTCACAGGGATGTGTTTTTTCTTTTCTACAGGCTCTTCCCTTTCTCTTTGAAACTCCAGGTTCTCAGGAAAATTTGGCTCCCTTGCACCTTGCTGATGGGTTCAAGTGGTTGTACTTATTCTTGTTTTGTTTTTATATCCTGCTTTTATAGCTATTTTCAGTGGAAGGTCTGTCTGATACCAACTACTCCATAATGGTCAGAAGTGTAAGTCTGCCTGTTTTTGTTTTCCAATGGATTCAGTATAGTAGCCTTTGAGATTCCCATTAGAAATTTAAGATAAAACATAAGAGTTTTAAATGTTTTTATCTGCCTTCACATTTTTGAGATATGATTACACACAGCAAAATGCACAGATCTTAAATGTGCAGTTAGATGAGTTTTGACAGACATGTATACGCCTGTAACTGTGTCATTATATTTTTAATTGTATTTTATTTACATTACCTAACAATCAACACCAAAATAGCTTTGGCATAATAGTCAAAATTCATAAATCAAGCCACGTTTCCAGAAATTGAAATTCCACTGGATTTACTTAAGCAACCATGTGAATTACCATTTAAGTACAGCTTATCTCAGCACACAACCCTGCCTGGCTCTTAGAAAGTGAATGAATATCTTCTGGCTTAAACGGTTGACTTTATTTTAAAAATTAAGTTGCTCAAGTCTTTGCATTGAATAATAGCTCTAAGATTGGCAATTTGTTTGAGTCCCCTTTTTAAACCAATTTTTATTATGAACATAAATCATTTTATTGTTCAAAGATAGAAAAATGTAGATAGGATTCCCCAAAATTTCCTTATGGGTAAGTTTTTTCTAGATATAACCATTACTTACAGTTTGATATATACTCTTCCTGACATTTTATGGATATAAAAATTGTTTAAATAAAATATTGTACATAAATTTGTATAAACCGTTTTCTCTTAAAACTTACCACTAATCACCTGTCTCATGTCGGTAATTATGCTTCCACACTCCCCCTTTAAGTAGCTGTAGAGTTTATTGTATAAAGTTTACTTTACAAATACTCTATGTTGGAACTTTGACCTCTCCAAGTTGAAAAATTTTCCCAATTCACCACTTATTTTCTTAGAATAAGTTTATATCAGCGGAGCTCCTTAGACAATGTTATGGAGATTTTCTGAAGACTTTTCTTTTCATACAGCAAGGCTGCTCCTGAGAAATGACTTGCCAACCTGTACTTCATAGCTTACAGATGATACCTTAATTCCCCCCTTATTTCACTAACAAGCAGAAAATGTCATGCCCTTGTTTTGATTTGTATTTCTTTTGTTACTATTGAAGTTGAGCCTTTCTTCTTTTTCTTTTGTTTCTTTTTTCTTTTTGAGCCAGAGTTGTGCTCTTGTTGCCCAGGTTGGAGTGCAATGGCACGATCTTGGCTCATTGCAACCTCTATCTCTTGGGTTCAAGTGATTCTCCTGCTTCAGCCTCCCTAGTAGCTGGGATTACAGGCACCCACCACCATGCCCAGATAATTTTTTTGTATTTTTAGTATAGACAGGGTTTCACTATGTTGGCCAGGCTGGTATCGAACTCCTGACCTCAGGGAATCCACCTGTCTCAGCCTTCCAAAGTGCTGGGATTACAGGGATGAGTCACCACACCTGGCTTGCCTTTGTTCTTACATTTATTTGCCTCCTATGTCTTATATTTTTCTTTTTTAAATGCCTGTTTATAGCTTTCATCCTTTTTGAACTGCTTATATTTTATTGATCTGTAGTAGCTTGTTATATATTAACTGTTGGAATTTCGTATGTGCTCCAGATACTGTCCCCAGCTTGTCATTTGCCTCCTGTTATGCTTGCTGATCCAGTGCAGAACCCCAAGCATGGGGTGCAGAGTAGGAGGGCCTGAGAGAGAGAAGGCTGGAGACTTAGGCACAGGCTAGGTCACCTAAGGGATGGCTGCTCATGCAAAGGAGCGAGGAGGTGCTACTGATGAGGGCAGGACTTAAAAGTATCTAGGGGGTGAAGTCTTCAGGTTTTGCTGACTGGATAAGGGATGTGGGATCCAAGAAGGTGACAGTGAAGTGGATTGTAGCATCTTTAATTATTAATAAGTGGTCATCAGGTAGAAGCATGTTTTGGAAGGAAAATGAAGAGCATTAGAGTTACGGTCTTTGTAGTCCCTGCAACAGCTAGTATTTAGCTGGAGCTTCACAGCTGAGTACAGTTCCTGGCACAGTGGCTTGCCTAGTAAAATAGTTGAAATGAATTCCTTGTCAGCCTCCATCAAGGAAGATGATGATCTTCTCTTTGGTGCCTTTTTGACCTCCATGCCTAGTACTGGCAGCCTTACAATTATTTTATTTTATTTATTTTTTTGAAATGGAGTCTCACTCTGCTGCCCAGGCTGGAGTGCAATGGTTTGATCTCAGCTCACTGAAACCTCCACCTCTAGGGTTCAAGTGATTCTTCTGCCTCAGCCTCCTCGAGTAGCTGGGACTACAGGCACCCATCACCATGCCTGGCTAATTTTTGTATTTTTAGTAGAGACGGGGTTTTGCCATGTTGGCCAGGCTGATCTTGAACTCCTGACCTCAGGCGATCCATCCGCCTCAGCCTCCCAAAGTGCTGGGATTACAGGCGTGAGCCACGGTGCCTGGCCCACAATTAATTTTAATAATCTCACTTCTGCTTTCTAGGAACCCGAAGACAGTAAAGGTCACAAATGATGTACCTTTTATATCTGGCAGAGGGCCAGAACATTTCTGGGGTTTGTTATTTCTTCTTCCCTCCTCTGAGGTTTATACGGCCTCCCTAAGGTAAGTGTTTCTATAGTTCTCATGGACTTCCTGGTAGAATCCAACAAGTTGCTTTTACCCCTTTTCAATTGTCAGCATCTTCTTTGTGGCTGGGCTGAAGAAGCTCACTGTGGACTCCAGTTCAGCCTCGGGTGCATTGGCCAACCTCTGGGAATGGCACTGCTCCGATGAACTGCCACCGTCACACAGGCAGGTTGGGGAGCTGCAGGCCATCCTGTTCGGTGCTGGTGTTCTAGCTCTGGGGGTAAACAAAGGCAAAGAGGTTCTCAGGTGGGGGTGGTGGGTGGATGGGGGGGAGTGTGAAAGAGAGAGATCTAAACAGAAAAGCTTGCTGGAAATTCAGAACAAAAACGACCTCTTAATCCTATAGTTCCCAATATTCACAGCTGCTATAAAGCTCACATTTGGGCTAATTCCACAAGTTATTAATCACCCACAGCTTGCTGTATTGGACTTGTGGATCACATTCGTGCTCCACAGCAATTAAAAATCCTCCCTTGCATGTGGAAAGGCCTAACTAGAAATCTCAGGAGGGTCAGCCCAATTCTCCACCTGAGACACCTGGAACTCATGCTGACCTCTACTCATCCATCCCACGAACAGGTCGAAGGATTCTGCAACATGCCGAACAAGCTTTGTCCTGGGTGCTCGGGAGGGGATGGAAGTGGGGTGAGGCAGTGAGATGGATGGTCTCCTCCGTAACCAAATCTTTGCACTCTCTAATATTTTATACTATCTATTCTCTTTCATTCACACTTAAAATACTATGGGGAACCTACTTCGTGCCCTGCCACACCAGGCATGGATGATTCTGAGATAAATAAAACACAGTCCTTGCCCTGGGGAAGCCAATGGGCAGGAGTAAGAAATAGGCATGTTAAAGCTTAGTGTCATGATTGCTGTACAGATGCAGGCACCAAATCCTGCACGGTCATGAAAAAGGATGCAAGTAACTTTATGTGTTGGGCCCTAAGAAAAGGCTTTGTAGAGAGAAGGTCTATGCAACTCAGGCTTTTACCAGTAAAAGGGATTTCAGCAGGAGAAAAGTCTGAAGGGAGAAACTATGAAGCAGAGGGAACCACAGTGCACAGAGGCATGGACGATTCCCGAAGATAGCAGCTGCAGGACAGGATGGAGGGAAGGCTGGAAAGCGACAGCTTAGAAAGAGGTTGCCATGTGTGGGTATTTTCTGCAGAAGAAAAGAAAAGCACTGCTCCCGAAGTCCTATTAGGTTGTGTGTAGAGAAGACTCTGGGACACCATGCAGAAGTGGGATGTGGGATAGAAAACTTAGGCTGGAGGACTGCCGCTATTAACTGTAAATTCCATTTCATTATCAGCATCAAATACTTATGCAGCCTCCGGAGGGAAGAGAGTCCCACAAACAGTGACGAGTGAAAGATACAGAAGTCAATCAGAAGGCACAATCCTTGAGTCCCTATGTTTGCAATTTAAGAGGCACACACTGGGATGAAACACGAGAGAATGAATTGTGAGACAGACGTAACACTTGATAAACAACTCTTTTTTACAAAGCTTTGCTATGCTTTTGTATTTTGTTGGCATCTTAGCACATTGGCT